TCCTAGAACATCTTCAAACTCAATTTGAAACAACTCATTGACCATTAGTTGACCATCAGGATTTCGAATTCTTCTCATTTTTTTCCTTGTTTTCTCATTTCACTTCCTGAATACCAAATTTCTAGTTCCACATAGAATCGATTTATATTCTTTTCATGGTGCATGCTGAGAATCGACTCTAGACATTGCTGGGCATTCTGGAAAAATATATGGGGAAACCAATTGTTTTCCGAGCAATATCAAAGTTTGAGTTGTTTTCCATTCCTTGTCTTTGTGTCTTATGGTTCGTTAAAAACAGGAAAAAATACTAAAAACGAACTCATTTATTTCTAACCCCCCGTTATTCTTTCTTTATAACGAATTGCTTTTCTTCTGTTTTTAGCTATGTTCGAACGTTTTCTACATGAGCAACCAACCTCATTGAAATTCTCGAACTTTAACCAGACAAATTGATTAGTTACGCTTTTTCTAAAAATTGAAAAAAATATACAGAATACAACAAAAACAATTTAATTGAATTTGAGGAGGAAAATGAAGAGAATGAAGTCTCGTATAAATTGAATAACTATTCAACTGATGATCATTGATGTTTACTGATCTATTGCTGTTTGTTTTGATTTCCTAATTCATCTTAAAAAGAAATTTAAGCATGTGGTTTGTGTTTGAATGTGAAGGTGATTCAGTTATGTACTAAACCACCTGGGGTGTGAAGTCTTGGAATATACATACTGACTTTTTGAAGCCATTTTTGTTTTTTCTTGTTTTTATTTTCATTTTTAACATTCAATTTTTAGATATTTCTGTTTTTTTTTTGAACAAGTATTTCTGTATCAAAAAATTAAAAAACAATTTTCTGATGCTCACGTGTTTCATTAAATTTAAAAACTACTTGTTTAATGGTACTCCCAAAACAAAAAAAATGACAAAAATATTTTTAAAAATAATACAAAACGATAGGTTCCACCGAGATTTGAACTCGGGTCGCAGGATTCAAAGTCCTGAGTGCTAACCGCTACACCATGGAACCGTACACTCTCAACACCACCTTTTCCCGTTTATGACTGATGAAGCAGGTGAAGATAATGTGTGCGGAGACAGGTTTTGCGAAAGGTATTGTGTTCGCCGCGGAACGAAAAGATTATATCAACAATGGAAGCCATTTTTTGCATTGATCAGACTATACTATCAGCGTAAATGTATTGGTGATTTTTGGTGAATAAAAATGAGTAAGTTAGTTAAGCAGTTTGTAGTGGTTACGTCTACCAGAAGTTTGTGGTCCAAGAATGTTTGAAACAGACTTCGAAATTCCGAAAATTTCGAAAATTAATTTCATTTTCGGAATGAAATTCCAGCCGAACTATTCACGAAGATTTGAAAATCGGGAATAATCCTAAAATTGATATTCGAATATTTTGACATTTCGAAAAATTCCGAGAAGGCCACTCCGAAAATTCTAGTTTGTGGTCTCCATTCAAAAAATGTATAAATATCCTGCATGAATTATCACTCTCTAACCGAGCAATATCAGTGATGTCACGATCAACCCATTTATCTTCAGTCCATCACAAAAAAAAGAACTTGACCCAGCGCGTCGGTGTCAGGGACCGCCTGCCACCCGCAAAAAAAAAGAAAAACGGACATTCGAATTTTTGAAACACTTGTCAAATGAGGTCCCATGGGTGGTACAAATTGAATACGCCGCCATCAGTGCCGAGCCATCCCCCCGGCCACCAGTAGTGATGACAAAAGAGACCTCGGACCCACCCCACAAAGAAACAAAACACTTGAAAAAGGGGTGGGGGGTCACGTGTCTGGTAACAAGAACTCAACTCAGACGTACACGTCAGTCTCGTCGAAACTATTTAAGTTAGTTTTGAAGATTTCGGTTCTTCGTGCAAATTGGGTCTTGTTTTCTATATTTTTGGAAGTTGCTCATCCCGGAAGTTCTGAAATTCCGAACGTATTGGATTTTCTATTTTTAGTGAAACGAAGAGGTAGTAGTAATTTAGACGTCCCTTATTTGTTCTGGTCTAGTAGCCCAAAAAGTGGTTCCTGTTTTTGAACTCTTATTCTTGGGATGATTGGTTCTCTTTCGTGTGTTTTTTTTTTCGCCCATATTTTTTCATGTTTTATGAAAAAATTGAGATTTTCAAATAAAAATTGGAGTGTGCAGGACAATATTTCAGAGTTCTAATCCGAAGATATTTTTTGAGTTTTTTTTTCGTATAGCATTCCTTTTTGAACTCCGTGTTTTGAAGTTTTAATCCGGGAGAAATAGAACCTCAAAATCCATGTTTTCTGTAAAATTTTTGAACGTAGAGTGTTTTTGAATTTTGATCTAAGGTTTCTAAAAAAAAGAACTTTTCTGACAAGGGAACCTCAACACCTTGTAAACCCAGATTTCGATGAAACTTTCAGGATGGGTTAAGGATAGCTTTTCCAGACACTTCTGAAGTTTTCAGAATCCGTTGGCCAGTTTCTGCCAAATTGTTCAGTTTCAATACCAAATAACCAGTTGTCAGTGCAAAACAGCTATTTTGAAAAATGATTTTCTCAACTACTAAGACGTTCCAGAATACGAAATTTGTTGTTTTATACTTAGAATAAATCAAAAATTCACGTTTCAGACATTAAAAAAAACTTATTTGAAAATTTTTAATGGATCTCAAAATAGTGGAAAAATCGAGAATAATAATTTTTAAAAAAGATGTTCTATTTTTAGTGAACCGAACTTCATTTTGAGTAAAACACAATAAATTGCATGTTCTGAAACGTCCTAGAAGTTAGGAAAGTCGTTTTTGAGAATCGCTATTTTGCACTGAAAACGTAATTTTTGGTACTGAAACTGGTGACTAGATTCTAAAATTTTCAAAGGTGTCTAGATAACCGATTCACAACCGATCCTTGAAGCTCATTAAAATCTGAATTTACAAGGTATTGAGGTTTCCTTGGGAGAAAAATTCCAAGATCAAAATTAAAAGACACTTCACGTTCTTCCATTGTCCCTTACACAATTGCAACATTTCATATAGTTCAAAATGTTGTTATTTTCAAAAATGTCCCCATAAGACTCCTCGTTCACTGAAACAACTCTCAATTCCACCCTCATTGTGTCTGGATAAACTCATTAGAAATTTCTCACTTTACTAAAAATGACTCAGTTCCCCTTCCTTATGATTTGTTCTCTACTTTATACTTCTCATATTAAAATGTTTCCCGTGACAAAAATAATGGGGGTCTCATCATGATGTCACGGCTCATAAATCCGCGAGACTGAAGATGATGATGAGTAGTTTAATTGCCATCATCTTCCTATTCTCTTTGCCCTTTCCATTAGTTTCCGCCATCACCCGTTTGTCTGTCACACGTCTTCAGGAAAAGATTTGTCAATTGATGAAGACCTTACATAAAATTTGTGAGCCATGCAGTTGAATGAAAAATTGAGAGAGGGTTTCAAATAAGGTGTGGGAGTATGAAGCAACCACTAGCGTCAGAATTTCAGCTCGGAAGTACACCGGAAAACGTTAGAAAAGGTACAATTATTATTTCTGGAGAGATGATGTGTGGGAGGAGAAAACTACTGTAACTTTAACACTCTATTGACATTATTTCTCTAATTCATTCAGATCTCTGAGCACCCATGGAGAGAATGGAACCAAAAATTTTGAAAATCAACAAAAAACTTCCAAAAACCTCTTATGGTCCTTGATTCTATGGTTTATTCATAATGTTTTCTCACATTCCCCCTCTTCAAAATTCCAACGGATCAAACTCATTGTTCACTCATATAATGAAAAAAACCAATTCCGGAGAATGAGCATTTTCCGCCCACCGTTTGAGGGAACAATAGGTTTTCGGAACACAAATCGTTTATTTTTCGTTGTTTCTTTTTTTTTTCGAAACCTGCACTTTTTGAATGCCTAATTGTTTTCAAAGTTAGTCCACCCATTTTTCGGAACAAACTCTTATTTCATTTTGTACCACCACTATTCGTATATCCTTCTATTTCAATTACTAAAATTACTCGGCTTTGTTTTGACATCGTCAGCTAAAGACAGAATCAGCTTAATTAATGATTGGTAAATAGCAATTCGAAAGAAGACAAAACAATAACACTAGATGCTATCTAAAATTTCGAAATGGATTGAGTCATAGGTGTTCGCAGAATGATGAGATTTAGTTAAATTTTGCGTGCTAGGTTTATATGTGTGTGTGCCATTCCTAGGACAAAATGATGTTCATTTGAATTTCTGATAACGTCTGTTTTCGTTCCAACCTTCAGACTCGTATAAAAACGTTTTGTATAAAAATAGAACTGCGAGGGAACTGTGGAATTAATTAATCAGAATTCTGCTTCCTTATTCTTGCCATTTGTCTTGATGACGTTTCCCAAGACCCCCCGCTTTTTCCGTCATCTCCATGCTTCTAATTAGTTAACAAATGAAACAGACTGAAAAAAAGAGGAGCGTCTTCAAAAGTGCGTATTGTTCTTCGAGCTCAACTTTTTTTTTCCGTGTTTCGTCTACGCTCATGATTACTGATTGGCTGATTAGTGACTCAATGATTGTTGATCAGTATTCCATTCACGTGACGAGTTGCTTATACGGGACCCAGGGATCCGACATGCGCCTTTGCATACCAATCCATCATCCAGAGCCAGACCCTCCTACAACTTCGTTTCCAGAAGAGTTTCGACCCGTAATCAGCAAGACGACGAATCAATCAACAACCGACAGCGCCGTTTTTCTACGAATTTATTGCTTCCGGGCAACATTTTGACAACATCATCATCTTACCAACCTTCACGTGTGGGCAGTATTGTTGGAATAACAATTCCGGGTTCTGTAGACAGGAAACATTTGAAGAAAGAGAAATCCGTGTTTGTTTGACCTGAATGAATCGAAGGATCTAGACGAAAAGAAACCTTATGTTTCACGAAATGCAATTTTCGAAAATTCGAAATTCTTTTCCATGAAAATGAAGCCTCATTTTATTCTTTCCATAGCTTTATATGAAAATCAAAAGATGGAATTGGAATTAGGTAAAAAAATCTTGATTGAAGTGGTCAGCAACAAAACTACTAAACACATCCTACTGTAATCCTTTGGAGGTTTTCCGAAACAAATTCAGCAAATTATACAGCTTGAAAATTCAGTTTAAAACTTTAATCCTATGTATTTCGATAATCATTCCTAACTTTTGAGTGATCTATGTGTAAAATATAGCATCATATTTCACAATTGACTGATTTAATAGGCTAAACGAAACCAGACTACGTTGCTCTTTTAAAAGTGTGAGTCATGGACGTATTTTGAAAATTCAAATATGACGAAAACGCTTCATTTGAGTTTTGGTACCTTAAGAAACCCATCCTGTCTATATGGAAATGTGTCGCATTGACGTTCCCATTCCCATCATTTCGGTTCCTTATTACCAAGTAAACCAGGATAAAAGAATATCAATATAAATTCAAATTACCTCCTAACCCATGAGCTCTTCTCTATCCATTTCTCACAGTAGCCAAAATGCGTCAACTCATTTCCATACATATTGCCAAAAAATTTTTCGAAAAATTCTCCATTTTTCTATTCTCCTTTTCTACGGTATCATACAAATTTTCGTATTTCTCATTCTCATCGTATTTATTTCGTTCCTCCGTCTTCAAAACTCCCACTGTTCCTCGTTGTCAGGAGCCGGTCGGAGTGGGTGTGGATGAGAAATGGGCGGAGCCTGGGAGGGGAAGAACCTCATGGCGTAGCGTGGGCTCATATATATATACGACAGGCTCTATGGAGTCTTTCATTCTTAAAATTTTAATTTGAAGGAACCCTATTACTTTCAGAATGTCTTGATTTTCATCTCATTTTTCTTCCGTTCTTCGGTTGTCTAGTTCTTCGTACTGATTCGAAATTTTGTTCGCTTTTTCCAATAATTTGAGAATGACGTTATTATGAGCATCGTCAAGTTTTAGGAACGCCTAGAAGCCTTTTCTAAGAACATAGTAATTGAAAATTCAGGCTTCTGATGAACTGTTGTTTTCAGTATCGCTTTACAAGAAGAATCAGATCCAGAGAAGAAGCCAATAGGAAAACAGAAACCAGAATTTAAACTGTTTATCACAACAACAAAAAATTGCTCATGAAACTTCAAAATTCCCGTGATTCAGTGTTATCTGATGATCTACAATCTTTTGCCACTGATCTGCCCCCAGACAGGCTGACCACGAAACTTCCAAAACAAAAACAAATGAGAGCAACACAAAATGAGGAATGAAAAACATCAGACATGCAAATGATCATGACCCCTGTCATATCTTGTAATTGACACAATTTTTCCCAAGAATTCGTCTAAGAGATCCTTATCTCTTTTTTGGAATTGCTGGAATTGCCTACGTGAATTTTGAAACATTCCTATTTTTCGACTTCTCCTCATTTCATTTTCATCCTCATCCGCATCCAACCCTATCTTCTCATTTCTGAAGCTCCGCCCCTAGGATGCTCTCTTAGTGTTGGGAGTCGACTTACGCCTCCCATCACTTTTTCGATTAGAGTAGTCTCCCCTCCCCATTCTTGTCAACGTCACAGCTATTTACGACCCGATAGAAAAAGAACATCAGCTTACTCCTGAGACTCCGCCCCTATTTCTGTTTTTTTTTCTTGCTCTTTTTCCGTCCTTTCCTTCAATCCACTGCTTCCACCCTCATAACGGCGCGTGTGGGTTTGATTTATGTTTTGCCCCTTTTCTGACTCACACTTTTCTTGTCTCTGACGTTACATTTTTGACCCATTAGAGACCATAACTTTTTTTTTGTGTTTCAGTCGTCAGTGCTTTCCGGGTAACACACGCACACAATGCTGCACCCCATCGTTCTCCTCCTTGTTGCCTCTTCCGCAGTCTACGCAGGTACGTTTTTCATAACTCCTAGATGTTCAAAATAGTCTTTGTACGCTCTTTCTCGTATAACAAATGGGTTCTTCCTACGCACCCGGTTTTTTCCGGGCCGTGATTCATTCGGGTCCCTTGGGTGCAAAGTGCTAAATTCCGCTTTACTAGTGTTTAGGTTTTTTGCCATTTATACAGATACCAGGGATTTGAGAGATTTGCGTTTAACAGTTCAAAGGTATCAAAATAGGAGATTGTTTGAATCAAGCAATTAGACAATTAAAAAAACAGAACAGACATTCTTTCTTAGTTCCGGGATCGGGGGCCAGACTAGTACGAAAGTGCACAAGTGAAAATTAAATTACAGCTCGCCCGCGACGTGCGCTCGATGGACTAGACGGAAGCGGATTTGGATTCGATAAGAGGTGAGGGACTAAAATAAGGGGCCCTGACTAATCTGATATAATCATGGGGAGGGGAGGTCATCGGACCATTGACGGATACACTTTTGATCTCTGGAATATTATATCCGGTCTTTGAGATTTCAAAATATGTAAAAATATTTCGAAATTTTTCCAGAGCTCTCAACTCGCTGGACGGTGCTGGTTTCGGTTTCGAGAAGCGTGCACTGAACTCACTGGACGGTCAAGGGTTCGGTTTTGAGAAGCGCGCTTTGGATGGTCTTGATGGTATGGGATTCGGATTTGACAAACGGTAAGAAGCATAATTATCTAGATATTAATTTCTACATTTCAGCGCACTGAACTCATTGGACGGAGCTGGATTCGGATTCGAAAAGCGAGCTCTCGACGGGCTTGATGGTGCCGGATTCGGGTTTGACAAGAGAGCGTTGAACTCTTTGGACGGACAGGGATTCGGATTTGAAAAAAGGTAAGAAGGTTGAGGTTACAGATCATGCGTAACCAGTTAGACTTAAATCACCTGTTGAATATACCTAAAGTTCACACCTGCTGGACTGAAAACAACACTCAAAGATCTTTTTTCTAGAGCCCTCAACTCTTTGGATGGAGCTGGCTTTGGCTTTGAGAAACGAGCCCTTGATGGGCTCGATGGTGCTGGATTTGGATTCGACAAAAGAGCTCTCAACTCACTTGACGGAGCCGGATTCGGTTTCGAAAAGCGGGCCTTAGATGGGCTCGATGGCGCCGGATTCGGGTTCGACAAAAGAGCCCTCAACTCGTTGGACGGACAGGGATTCGGATTTGACAAGAGATCATCTTTCAAGCACCAATCCAGTAAACTCCGCTCAGTGTTCCGGAATTTGAGAGGTTTTAACAAGCAACACTAACTGTTAAACTATTGATCTTCTATTTTGAAAAATATTAAATTTTTATTAAATCATTCTCACCCCTTCCTTCTGTGTTCTTGTGTTCTTGCTATCCCTGTTAAACGCCCCTCTTAAACACATTTGCCTACAGAACTAAATCGGAATTCTTACAAAAACCACAGCACGTATTATTTTGCTTTCACTTTACACTTTTTAAAAATTGCATCTTTAAAAAATTTGTTTCAAAACTGAAATGCTATTAAATAAAAATAACAAAAACACAACACGAACCCATCTCATTCCAATTGTTCCAAACCATTCCCTTCCCAACCATTCTTGTCATTTTTAATTTTGATATATTTATTTATTTTCGAGAAACCAGCTTGAGCGTCAGAATAAATGATTCAATTTGTGATTTTCGTTTTATTTAGCTCAACGAATCAAACGTTTGATTTAATCAAGGACCCACTGAGCACTAAAATAAATGAGTGAGCAAATAAACGTGAGGGAGGGAGGGTGGTCTCTTGAAACGTTTTTTAATTGGAAAAACATTTGAAACGAGGCGGCGGCAACAAGGAAGATGCGCCGCGCAAGTACACACTGCACTAGACACTTTATTTCAAGCCTTTAAAATACTTTCAATATTATTATTTCAAAGTTTTGTTTCATTTACTTCTTTTTTCTCCTGCCTTATTTTTCCCAGGACGTGGGTGGCACGCTAGTTGTGGGTGTTGGATGGTACTCATTCATTATTCATCACCTTATTTATTTGATTTTACAGAGAAAGGAACAAACTTGCCACGAGGGTCAAAAGTTGTGAATAGAATGGAATAAGAGCACACGTGTGAATGAGTAAATGAGTTCAAAGTTGACACTAAATTTGGTAACAATTTTTGAAGAGTGTTTCCAAAAATACATATTCTGTGTGAATGCCAGATTCTTAAGTAAACAATATTCAGGATCTTAGGTTCTTGTGCTCAATGTGCGACTTGGATCTTTGAATATATGATCAATTTATTTCCATGATTTCATATTTTCGGGTAGTCTCACAGAAAACTCCAAGCCGGAACCAAAAAAAAAACGACAATAAAAGCGTATGAACAGAAAAGTCCTATTTCGGGACCGTTGTTCCTCCCATTTTATGTTTCAAACAATGACCATCGTCAAAAATGACATAGACACTCTCTTGGGACTCATTCATGAGAAGAACGTATTGTTTCGTGCACTTTCGTACTGGAGGTCTTCGAGACGTTTTTCGTAAGAAAGAAGTACAAACTTCAGATGTTCCCAAAGCAGATGTTTTGACGACGTACTTTGCTGGCCATAAATATATGAAAAACGTGTTCTTAAATTGATTTTGGCCATTTTTAAGAGCCTGGAGCTTGGTTGTCCAGTGTCGGACCACTTTGATAATTTTGGAAATTATAAAACAGATCTAGATTGAAAACGTTGCATTCACAGAATTTTTTGAAAATTTCTAGTTTTCCAGGTATTTGCTGAATTCTGAAAGACACCGGCTTTTTTCACTATATCGGGTACAAAAACGTGCCAAAAATGGATGTCTTTCAGAAATCGGCAAATATCTGAAAAACATTCTTTAAAAAATTCTGTGAATGCAAAGTGTTCAATCTAGATCTATTTTATAATCTCCAAACTTTTCAAAGTGATCCGACATTTGACAACCAAGCTCCAAACTCCTGAAAATGGTCAAAATCAACTGAAAACCACGTTTTTAACAGATTTATTGCCGGTAGTGTAGTTCGTTCAGAATTAGGAACTCTGGAAACAAGAGATAAGAATGAGTAATTCAGAAACTCCAAATTTCACAATTTATGAGAAAAGTTAACATTTCCGAACAGGCAGATGTAAGGAGAACAATATGAATGGAGAAACAGTACAGTAGGAATGTATTTTTTCATCTGTCGAAAGAAACAACTAACAGCGGATGAAGGGGAATTGATGGAAAATAATACTGGGACGCTCTGACAATGATTCGATTTCTACCAATGGAACAGACAGCTTAAGTTTAATGGAAAATCATCGGTATTACAAAGATGAGAGAATAGGGGCAAAGGAAAGGCTGGGATCAATACGATACTGGGAAGTTTTAATGACAAATCAGGATATTTGATAAAATTAAAGTTCAAGAAAAATATGCAGATTCCAGCAAACACGAATTCCTCATCAGTTGACTTGTTCCGATGGCGAATCGTCTCGATGGTTCTGAAAATTGTTTTATTTTCAATATCAATGCTATCAAAACACATTCGATACCAATTATTCATTCTGACCACACTTTCGAAAAATCATTTGGACACTCCTTCAGATTTTTTCATGCTCTAGTGATGCGTGAATGCAGGAGGCCCTTCCAAAAATATACATTTCTTCTAACGTCATACTATGAACGAGTTCTTTGGAGGAACTAAATTTCGAGAAAAAAAGAAAGTTTCAAAAGAACATTTTCAAGTGAAGGGATAGTTTGAGATTAAGATGAGTACCTGTGACCTTCCGCCGGATACACTTTCAGACGCGTTGTTGGAAGATTGACGACTCAGCTTCCGGACTTGATAGCGTGGTAACAGTGCTCGCTTCAAATCTCGTTGCCATGGTTTCTCGTACTTTCCACAGCGAAGCCTGTAAACAAATTTTTACCTTGAATTGTATAAACTACCGGTCAATAAGATTTACAAAAAAATAGTTTTCAGTTGATTTTTCGCCATTTTCACAATTTTTTGGAGTCCGGGTGCTCGGCTCTCATGGTTCGGATCAATTTGAAATTTTTGGAGGGTGTAAAACGGACCTGGAAAAAGCTTTGAAATCGAATCACAGAATTTTTTGAAAGTTCCTAGTATTTCAGCTAATCGACGATTTTGGTTCTTTTTCACTTTTTCAGTGCAAAAACGAGCCAAAAATGATGTCTTCGAGAAAACGGCAAATATCTTCAAAATAAGACAATTTCTTAAATTTTGTAAGTGCAAAGTTTTCATTCTATGTTTTTTTCACACCCTTCAAAAATTTTTTGATGATTGGAAATGACCATATATATTAAAATGGTTAAAATGGTTGAAAATCAATTGAAAATATGGTTTTTGTTCATCTTATGAACCGGCACTGCGCATTGTGTTGTTCAGATGTTCACTTGGAAGTACTGGCGAGCGGATTCTATATGCCGCGTTAAAAGTTAATTTCCAGAAGAAATTTCCTGGAAAAACCTGTCCAAAGCTGTCATTGTTTTCAGATTTCCAGTAACACTAAACTACTGTAGCACTCGTTTTGACTGCGTTTTTTCTGTTGATTCATGTCGATTTACGGCGGGTATTGAAGCGGAGGCCTCTGGAAAACAATGGCAACTTTGGACAGCGTTTTCCAGAAACTTTCTCCTGGAAATCAACTTTGAACGCGGCAATAATTTTCTCAGGAAAAAATTGCTAAATTATCGTTCGAAATTCAAGAAAATTGATAATCAAAACTGAACAAATTTTCGAGAAGAAAAATTTCAACAATTTTTATGAAACTGTGAAACTTCCGGTATACGTTTCACGGGAAACGAACGGAATTTTTTTCAATTCCAAACAACACAATTTTGAAGGGGCCTTTCAGTGCCTTTATTTTTTAGTTTTATTAGAAGGGCCAATCTGTTAGAGAACCCCTTCTATTAAAGGGACCATTCTCATTCTAATCTTGACTCAAACATTCACCTGAAAAAAAAATTTAATTCATAACTCTCCTTACCATTGATCTTTTGTCAATTTGTGATTTACAGAGTGATGAATGGATAGCGTAGAGAGGAATTTCCCATCTTGGTCACATGGTAGTTCGGCAATCTGATCGAATATCTCTCGTCCGCAAACAATCTGAAATAATAATAACTAGAGAAAATAATTTGAGTAAACGAAAAACTCACAGTGCCTAGTGGAATGTGATCCTGGTCGCAGTGCAACAAGGGGCTCGTGGTAATCAGGAAACGTGTTCCTCGGTAGTCGTCATGAATCTGAAATGAAAATCGTTTCTCAGAATCGTTTGAAGTTTGTAAACTCACGTTTCGGTTCGCAATCATTACATATTTGCTATAAAATTTGGGGTTATTCACAGGTTTTGTTGTATAGAGAGATTCCACTGTCGAGGTATCGTTTGAACTGGTGAGCACTCCTCCCTGAAAAAAACTGTTTCATATTTTGTTGCGAAAAGTTACTCAACCTCAATGAACTTATTAGTTTTCCGATGAAAAATTGTTCCCGAAAAACTACGATTTGTGCGATTTCCATCAGCCATCTTATAAAAGTGTTTCCTCAACTCTGGCTCAAAATTGCTCAGCATGATAATTATCCTTCCCATCATTAAATTCCCACTGACCACATCAAAAATTATGCGGTAAGGTCCAAAGTAAGCGGATATCTCATTCAACGCCAATCTGCAAATTCGATGTTTTTATTTTTTAAAGTTTTTTTCGGACTTCGCTCCTGCTGGAATCTAGACTGCCGAAATTGGTCGTGCTCCCTTATCAACTGTCAAAAATTGGATTTTTCTCAACATTATGAACGTGTCTTTTGCAAAAAGATAAGAAATGAAAAGTCATTTATCACACGACACTTTCGCTGACCCAAAAGTTCGTTTCTATTGGTAGAGACGTTTTCTTAGATACCTTTTTTGTCATCGCGCGGCCGTTAGGTGTTGGCCTCGACACCTTCAGAAGATAATCATTTTTTAAGAAACCAGTTTAGAGAGAGAGAGAGAGGCAACTTTGAAAAGTGAAAGTAAAATCTAATGTAACTTACTCGCTATGGTAAACTCGATGAAGTTCTTCTGGGGTCACTGTGCGAGGCCGACCAAATGGTATTACAGCTTGCTCTACCTCTGGAACAGCGGCCGCCACTATTTCTTCTTCCTCTTCTAGTTCTGCTAAATCCATCGCGGTTTCTTCCATCACTCCAGTAGATTCTGCGGTTTCCATTTCTTCTAATTCTACTGACAGATCAGCCTCAGCCTCTCTACTATCTAGACAGACACTGCAGTTGTCTTCACAAAGCTCCATACTCCGGCCGCTGTATGTCGGAGAGTCATCCGAACTCATCATAGAGCTTTTGTCATCATCGTCCGCCAAGGGCAAATCTATAATTTCCTCATCACTTTCCTCAGTAACGGCTTCACCCAATTGCCTGGGTTCCATGGGGGAACTGAAATTGAGAAAACCGTATGAAGAAATCAAGAAGGCAATTAAGAAGAAAATGCAGAAACAAATATAGAACGGTACTCGAAAAAACGACCGAATAAGAAAAACGAGAAGAGAACGATAAAATTTTTGAGGGGGGGGGGAATGGACGAGAATGTTTTATTTCTTTATCGTAGAATGAAGAGAAACGAGAGATACTATTGCGACAGTAGAAGGAAACAAAATATTTAGAGAAAATTGTGAGTGTTGAAAACAAAATGATTAGGTGAATGCTCTTTTAATGGAATCCAATTGTGGAGCGTTTTTTTTTGTTTGTTGGCATCAGAAATATTCTTGACCAATTATCAAAATGCAACTTGACCAAAGACCAATGCGTTTTCTATTTCTAGAATAATTACTGCCTAAATCTACTCCCAAGTTCTGAACTTTCAAAACTCCAGAAGTTCCAACAAAACGAAACACCAACCACGAACAACACAGATTTATATAGGATCAAAAATGAGGAACATGATAAGAATATCACTCGAAAAATAAGAACAGAGTTTATAAGACAAGAGTGGAAATGATGAGAAAATAAATGGGACCATTGAGGGAATGAAAATAATTTAATATTCAAGAAACATGTCACAGTTGAATCATTTTCTGCTTAATACGTCATCAACAATTCACAAAATACCATCATGCAAAAAAGAAACAGTATGGAAATCCAGAAAAAAACAACAAAAAAAAAATTTTTCAGAAAGAAAGTTGGACCACGAATTCACGAAATAAATAAGGAACATAACAAAGATCAATACTTTAAGAGCAGTTTTTTGAAAGGTTCGACATTATCTTCAAAATTCGCATGTATTCTGAATATGCCGTGCTTCAAAAACTTAGATGATACAAAAGTGGAGAAAAAGAACACAACACAAACAACATCTAATCCGAGTCGGAATCCGACGACGATGAAGAGCCAGATGATGAAGAAGATGATCTAGAAGAGTTGGATTCCGCTTTCGATTCTTGACGTTGCGACATTAGTTCTTGTTTGACTCTTGGAGACTGTGGAGAATTGGATCTGCTTCTTTTTCTGGCCTCTTCTTCCTCCTGGCGTTCCAGCTCGCGCTGAGCTGCCCTTTCCATAGCCTCTTTCTCTTCGCGTTCTTTTCTTTCAACGTCCTCCTTCTCACGTTCAGCTCGCAATCGTTTTCTTTCCTCCATCTCTTCCTGGCGCTTCTGATGTTCCTCCAGGGTCAGTTTCTTGCTCTGAAACATTATTGTGTTAAACAACGTATTTAAGTAGAGTTATCGTCGAGCTGAGCAATTAACTCAATGAATGCATGTTTTCTAATTTCACGTTTTTTTCGGATTTCGTTCGTTGAACTCGGTTTTTGTTCACAAAATTTGGGAAGCAAAACTCAAAAATCTCAGAGATGAGCGGAACAAATTTTTTCTAAAGTTTTAGAATTTTAAATTGATACGAATTTTTATTTTGTTATGGAATTTCGGAAATCTGAGAAATTCTCAAAAATTATTTTCGGAAAGTCGGTATTCCAAAATTCTAATTGTTAGAATGTGGGATGTACAAATTGAAATATGGAGACAAAATGATGAAATTTTAATCCCGAAATGCATCCTCGTCAAGTTTAGAGCGAAATTTTATTCTGAACGACTTTTTTTTTGAAATTTCCGACTAACAATAGTGAGATTAAAAACAGATAATGCTGTCCTTTTTCAGTTCCACTATTTTTCTCAATTCTTGATTTATCCTTTCGATCGGCGTTTTTTTCACAAATCTTTTCTTGGAATGATTCTGATAGCAATTCCATTTTGAAAACTTTCGAAACTTATTTCACAGGCCTCTGTTAGCTTTTTCCAGCTACCGTGACCCTCTGGTTCAGAATAATAACAAACCTCTTCACGCTTCCAATGCGGTGGAGTCGTTGATCGGTCTCTTGATCCCATGAAAGTGAGCTTTCCTCGTCCACGAACCTTGATTCCATCCTTGTTGGTGATGACCTGAAAGTATTACGGTGTTTTCAAAAAATAGAAACTTTCATCTTCCGATGAAAACGCAGTAACTCATTTTTTGTCGGAGGATATAATTGGCTCACCACGCATTCACCCCACATTGAAGGGAAAACTACTGAATCTGAGTGCTCGGTGCAGCTAGCTGACTTCGGGAACCATGGAGCCAAAGTAAAGTGCAAATTGTGAACTCGTGAGAGAGTCCGGTTGCCAATACTCAACCCAAGAAGTTATTTGGGCGGAGCTCAGAAGAGAGAAAAGGAGGCCGAGAGGAAAATTTTAAGTGAAGAACTACGGTATTTTGACGAATATAACCAGCGGATCATAGCTGAGTGGCGAGTGATCACGTGAGGAAGTGTGATTATATCCAAGTGCACTTTTTAGAATCAAGATTGGAGAATTTCGAGAATGTCGGAATTCGGGTTTAATTTTTTGGAAATATGGGAGTTGTGCTTTTCATGCGTCAGATCAATCTACTTATGTCACAATTGGAGTCAATCTCAAAACCAGGAAATAACCATACTTGTGGAAAAGATGGCCGGGCAGGGCCATGGCCGGGCTGAGATTTTTCTGAAAGCTGGTTGGACCGGACCGGAAAAATTAACACATGGCCGGCTCGCGGGCCGGCCCGCTTTTTGAAAATTTCGAAATTTCAGAGCGAATCATCATTTTTCAAAATTGAAGTTCTTCTTAATAAATGAAAATCCACACTAGAGGCTGATTCTGTCAAAAAAACTGTTTTGAGGTCGTAATGAGAAAAAAATTTCTTACTTGGCATAATGAAATTTGATTTTTTGGTAAAAATTCAATTAAGCCGAGAGTTTTGAACCAAGCGGGCCGGCCCGGGCCGGCCATCCAAGTAACGGAAAATCTAGACAAGGCATACTTGTCGAATTCCGTCTGACTCGGTGGACCAGCCGGGTGGGACGGGCCAGGTCAGGACAACGTCGAATTAATTCTTCGGGACACCAGCCTCGTAGACCGGGATAGCTAATTTTTCGAAAATTTATGAGAGCGGTTTATTGAATTCTAACTCGAATTAAATTTCTCAAGACATGTCGCTCTCACCAAAGTATCGGAACTTTGAACTTTTTCAAAAATTGCATTAAAACTTCGGAAATTCTAAGAAAACCAGAGCTTTGTAACTCCAGAATCTCATACATGTCTTTAAAAAGGGTTTTGGGCTAATTTTCGTACAAAATGATCATTCTGACTAAAATGTATCAAAAATCAACAGAAAAATTTTGAAATATTTGGAACCCGGGCTAGCGCGCCGGGTCGGGATTTAACAAATATGCAGAATCTGAACTTTGCCAACAGGGCCGGGCCGGACCACTTCTCATTGTATCTGAACTCGACAAGTACGAGAAAATAGTTAATTTTCATAACCTAAAGAAATCAACCTTGAGAAAAAACTGACGATTTTAGCTAAATCTCGAGAATGGATAGCTAACGCACTTTTCAGTACTACGGGTTGTTAGCTGACAAAAAAGAGTTATGCAAAAAGGATGTCATTGAGTGACGCGAGGAATAGAGACACATGGACGAAACACCGGAAGATTCATGTGAGCAACATGAAGTCACGAATCAAGAGCCAGACTCGTCCGAAATTCTTTCAAAGTTTGAAAGACCGTTAGAAGTTGCAGAAAATCATGTGAATTATCCCAATCGTTCCAGAAAAAGTCAGTTTCCTTTTCGGATGTCTGATTTTTTGATTTTCAACGCCTAAAACTGTCTTCGTACTATCAAACAGAAAATAGCAAAACATCAGTCGACGTTCTGAAAAGATCGTTGAGCCGATTTGAAGATTTTCTAGCGAAGCGGACCAGTCCTGACGGCCCTCCGAGTCTAACGATTTCTTTTAAAAATTTTTAATGTCATCCACTATCTCATCTCACTTATAATTCTCCTAGTAGATTGAAGGCTTTGAAAGCTACTGTAAACTATAATTCATGCTTAAAATTACACAAATTCATTGATGTTTGCCAGCTTAGACGAAGCATAGGCCTAGTCTACAAGGTTCATTATTCAAAGTTTAACCGAGCGAGCCAATGAGTATTTTTTAGGACTTAGGACTACAGCGTCACCGAATCAATGGAACTAGGTTGACAGAGTCAGTCCCTGAACAAGTTATGCACGGAAATATTCGTTTTTCACACATGCGCAAACTGTTCTGAGTAGGAGCCGGCAGTTACTCGGCTAATACAACAATTTTTGGACGTAGCCGAGGTAGTCAAAAGCGAGTCGAAACTTTTTTTTGTTAAGATACTTCTAGTAGGTAGAGCTAGATGGCTTAGCGGCTCTGAATGTTTTCGGGCAGCTGTGCTTATTTCCGGAAGAACGGATAGTTTGGTCCACATCAACCTACAAACGTCCCGAAATGCGGTCTTGTTTCCAACCACCTTGGACATAGCCATGTCGAGTCTATATTAATCATGTTTTTACAGAATTTGGTGGGAAGATCTGCCCAAACATGGCCTAACTTTCTTGTAGAGGTCAAAACAAGCCAAAGAACGCCTGACATACTCTCAAAGTTCCGCGCCTAGAAAGTACAGGTTTTAGCGGCCCAAAATTCGCTTTAACAACGCTACTAGAATCTCTTGGCAGTCACCAAGCTCACGCTCATATTTGTTCACTTCACAGTCAGCTTTTGAAATAGGAATACTCACCGGTCTTTTTCCGGATCTTCTCTCATCTGGAACACGGTTACGTTCACGATCACGATGGCGATCCCTGCTACCACTTCTTGAACGAGAACGGCGTTCACGACCATAACGGTCACGTTGGCGGTCGTGACGTCTACGATCGCCACGATTGCCACCTCTCTCGCGGTCCTTTTTGCTTTTCTTGCTATCTTCTGGGGTTCTGGATCTGGATCGACGCATCAACCAGTTAACTGTTTTTGGCTCATCATCCATTTTGCATCCAACCGGTTCTCTGAGAATACAAACAGTTACAATATCTAGGATCCAATTGTAGGGGCAACTCACGGCTCAGCACCCTGCTCATCTTGTTTCTTCTTCTTGTCAGAAGCCATTACATCTGATTTGCGGACCATCTCTCCACAATGCGCAATGGTTACTCGTTGTACTGGCATATCTTCCTCTTCAGTCTCCACTTTCTCAATTCTTTTAACAACATCAAAGCCTTTTACCACCTCTCCAAACACGACATGCTTGCCATCAAGATGCGGAACCTTCTCGGTAGTGATAAAGAATTGTGATCCATTGGTATCCGGACCTCTGTTAGCCATCGACAGAAGGAATGGCTTATTGTGAGGCAAGGAGAGATTCTCGTCATCGAATGTGCGGCCATAAATCGAAAATCCTCCTTGACCGTTCTTGTGGGTGAGGTCTCCTCCTTGGATCATGAATCCTTTAATGCACCTGTGGAAGATCGATCCTTGATACGAGGCGTTGTGTCCGTAGAGTTGACCAAGCTCGCCAGTGCACAGAGCACGAAAGTTCTCGGCTGTACTTGGACCTGAAAAATGAAACGGTTGTGATGTTGAGCATATGAATAGGCAAATTTAAGACGTTCTGTTCAAGCTCAACTCATCATGGACAATTCTGATCGGTTGCGCTTTCCAAAATAACCAAATTTCAATCCGAGTGATTGAATTTTTTGGTATTTGGCCGAAAACATGGAGTTCTAAGAAATTCATAGCGAATTCTGGACAAGCTTCAGCTATCCCTTGGCAAGTATCTATTCAGTCACTGTTCCCATTAGCTGAAGACCCTACTCTACGGTAGAAGGCCGGAAAATCAATAGATTTTCGAAAATGTTGTCCAACACCAAAATCCAGTAAGTTTTAAATTTGGGGCTGATTCCGAACAATTTCAATGAAGGTTTCAGGAAAAAAGCCAAAGCTTAGCTCAAGCCTGAAGCTAGTAGCGAAGCCTCACTCTGTTTTTCATTCATTCAAAAATGTTTCATAAATTTCGAATTTTTCGAAAATGACAAAAAACTTACAGCTATGATTGTAGAGCGCAAACACGATCCTTCCAGCCGGTTCTCCATTAATTGTGATATCGAAAAAGGTCCGTTTGTTGCCACGGCCTTCACGGGAGGACATTTTTTCGAGAAACCAGAAGAACTGACGAGCACGATGAGCGTTTGAGGTCGACAAGAATAGTCCGATGTGCGCGCGCACACAGCAGAGATAGTTGCAGTTGGAGAGACGCAGACGTTTGGTAGAGCGCGGTTGCAACACTTGGCTGGTTTTGAGGGGTGGAAGGACGATTCCTTGTGTGTGCAACGTTGGTTATTGATCGGTTGGGGTGTGTATGTGTGGGACCGCACACAGCAGACAAGGAAAATGGTCCCAGGGAAAGGGCCAACTGGCGTTCTGATCAATAGATGCCTTCAAAACAACAAGGAAAAAACACCCCACCGGAATGAGAGGAAAAGAAAAGAATTTATTATTGGATAAAATATCTTGATGGAATTTTTGAGTAGAGAAGATGAATGAAATGGTGCATACAAGAAGAAAAGAAGAACAAGTGGATTCTTAAAACTGTAGATGGAGATTTCAGATTTACTCGTTTCAAAACGGCTTTTTGGTTTTGATTTTTGTGGGGGGAAGAAGAGAAAAGGGGGAATTGGAGGGTTATGAGAAGTATGAAAAAAAGCGGGAAAGCTAGCCGAACTAGATTTGTAGAGGGAACAATCATCCTTGAGAGAAAAATGGAAGTTTGAGCATGGATAGGCTAGAATGGGATTTGAAATATATAAAACAGTGACCAAAAATACTACAGGTGAGCTTATTTATGTGTCTCGACGTCTGGTTTGAGGAGCATGAGAGATTTGCGGACGTGGATGATGTATGGGTATCCGTGAATGGTGTGCTTATCATGTGCCCAGACGAAATATCGCTTGTCATTCTGATTTCTGTCATTAATATTGTATTTCTGAGCGACTGTTTGATAGTAGCCATTGAGCCCCACAGACGAGCATTCTCCGGTGTGCCACCATGCTCTGAACAACAAAAAATTAAAAAAAAATATCTCCAAATTTTGTTACCCAAGCATGCGGAAACCAGCACAGTTCATTTGCGTGTTCTCGTCTTGATCGTTGTCGAGAGTTGTGAATCTTTTTCCATTGGCTTCATAAAATGGATCGGAACCGTTAACAGTCAAATTGCCGATGCCTCTTCCGGAGAAGTAGATCTTATATCCATCTTCTTTTCCTCCAAAGTTCACTTTCCATTCTCCCACCCAATTGTTGGCAAATCTTCTACTACACGTCGTGTCACAGGTTTCTCCCTGAATCTCAATACGGAGAGTGGCTGGAAGAGATCCGACAGGAGCCATGTAGTGCATTTTCTCAAGTCCCAACCAGTGACTACCATTGAGTTTTCCAAAACCATTGACGTATTTCTTCATGGTTCCTCTTTGGAATATCTCTTCTCCGTCAACACGTCTGAAATTTTCAGTTCTAATACAGACTCGGAAAATGCTCAACCGACCTTTGAATGACAGTCCAGCCTCCAGTAGTTGTGTCCATATCACAGTATGCCTGGTAATCTTTTGGTCCCTGAATATTGTACACTCCAGATGGGCTTCCCGTGATGAGACGGTCGAAGCATGACTGAAATTTTTTGAAAGTTAATTTTTGTTTGTTTTAACTGCTTGGAAGCGATAGAAAATTTGTATTTCAGCCTTCCGACAAGTTGGATAAACTTAGAGAAAGGGAGGTGGCCGAGCGCGCGCAGTCACTCGGCCAGGACAAGACGGCACGTCCCTGCGACGTATCATTCAAACAACCTATTTGCTTTATGACCTTATTTTAGGCTTATAATTGGGAGGGGTCCAACAATTTGGGGGTTCAACGGTATAAAAACTATTAAGGGGTCCAAAATCTACATTTCGGGGATGCAAAAATCAACATTTTAGGGTACTCCATACCCCCTGAATCGAGGATGGTATATCCCTAAATTGCTTTGCTTTGTACCCCAATAACCCCAGTTTTCGTATCATCTGAATTATTTGCGCTTACTTCAGTAGTTTCATCGTCCACTGGATCGTAGAACTGGAGAGTGCTAGTCGAAATAGGCATTCTACGAGTTGGAGTTGGTCTACGACGTCGCGCTGGAGTTGTTGATACAGGTTTGGTGGTTTCTAAAGTAGCAGTTTCCGCCTGAAGTTCCTCCGCTGCTTCAACTTCTTTCTTCTCGACGTCCTCTGACTTTTCTGCTTCTTCCACAACGTCGTCCGTGATTTCACTAACAGATCCATCGGTGGTAGTGGTGATCAGATCCTCTTCAGATGCAATTTCCTTGTCTACAGGAAGAGTCACAACGTGATGGAGGTCCTCGTCACCAATTCTTTCCGAAGGCAAAGTGTAAACTATCTCCGGCTCATGAACCACGGTAGTAGGAGTGTTTCTCTAGAACTTTCAATTTTTCAAAAACTTTTTTCAAAACTTCGAAGTAATTACCATTCCCACATGAAGGAATACGTAGAACATAACTACAACGGCGATAAGAAGGAACGCCAAGAGGAGGACAATCAGGTAGCGAGGCATCCTGAAAATAAAAATTGAGTATTTTTTCGCAAAACGAAAATAAAAGGCGCACTTTGAAATTCTCAAAAATTCCTTAGAAACTTCACGAAAAAAATTTAAGTTATTCACAGATGAGTAGATTTGGAAACGTGAAACCTAGACACCACCACCCTTCAAAAAACTTACTTTCCATAGTCCTTTCCCTTGCACCATGGCCATTTCGCCTCAGCAACATTTGCTTTTTTCACCTGATCTGGCCGGGTAAATTTTACCCCCTGCTCTACCAAAGCATCCTTCTCAACGCTCTTTGTTGGATTTTCAGCAAACGACTGGAAAAAACTCAGTTTACGATTATTTTTGTTCGGCGTCAATAAACCTCATGGCTCAAAATTCATTTAAAGGCACATCGCCGGTCCAGAAGCAAAAGCAGCTACGGTTATAACAAATAAATTCATGCGTCTTTGGTACAGTACTTTGGATAGCATTTATTTTGACCCATTTTTAGAGGGTTTTCCATTATCCAAAAAAGCTGATTATTCATGAGCATTGGAAGGAATTATACAGACACAAGCAAAACGCTGAGGGAAATTGGCAGACAAATAATCCCGAAGTACTGTAGCAAACTTATTTGTGAAAACCTGATTTCGCTTCAGGGCCGGCGATGCGCCTTTGAATAATTTTTTTGCCACAAGGTTCATTGGCTCCAGACAAGAATAATAGCCCACTTTCCCATTTTCTTACGGTAAGTGGTTCCTCCTTGGCTTGATCCATCGTCAAGTCGGTTACAGTTGGGATGTAATAGCTTCTGAAATGAATTTCTCAAAAATTGAATCTAATAAAAATAAGCTGCATGATTGAAGTCATTTGATGTCAGGAAGTGCGAGAAGCACCTAAACAGCGGAACACGACAATTTAGTAGTTTTCGGCGGAGAAGAATCGGAAGCCATGAACTAGTCGGGACCATAATTGCCTGTTTCGCTTACTGTTTAGTATTGAAATAGAAAAGTGTTGCGAAAACATAATTGAGATGGGAGAGGGAAAGTGACGGTGACTATTGAAGAACACTGGTGACGAGATTGTCAGGAGTGACAAAATTAGTGTATTGGATTTCGTTTTCGAAGATGTTTGGTTTTTTGTTGAAAGAAGATACAATTAATTTGTTTGGAAGTTTGTGTTGTGGCTTGTTTAACAAAGGAACCTTATTTCGAATAGAAATCTCTTTTAGGAAAAAGGCTATCTAAAAACCTCTGAGAATCATAAAATCCTCTGCCCATTTTCAGTACCAGAATCGCTTTGTAAGTGCAAGACAGTGATTTTCAAAAACGGTTTTCTCAAGTTATAGGACACTTCATAACATAAAATTTGTTGTGTTAAACTTAAAATAGACGGAATATCCCAGACATTTTCTCGAAGAAATGTTTTCTCTCAATTTTTCCACGATTCACACCATTTATTCGAAAATTAAAAAATTAGTAATTTAAAGTATACCACAGCAAATTTGATGTTCCAAAACGCCCTAGAAGTAGAAATAATCGTCTCTGAAAATCGCTGTTTTACAATGAAAATGCGATTTTTGATACAGAAACTGTTACAACTTGGCTGAACCTGGCGAGCGGATTATGAAAATTTAGAGGTTTTTAGTAAAGCTATTCTGACCATATCCTGAACGTTTCATGAAAATCTGAGCTTATAAGATAGGCGAATTTAGCAGTTTCGTTCATCCGGGGGAATTATGTGGCATTTTCATTAGAAATTCATATTTTTGAATTGCAAAACTGATAATTTTAGAGAACAAGGGTTATGAATTATTGATAAACATGACAATATGACTTTTTTCAATTTTCGAAAAAAGTTCTAGATCAATAAATAAGAAAAACAAGAACACGTGTTTCTTTTCTCATAATTGATATTGACAGATACGTCAGTTCATCAACACACACTCCTTTCTTTCAACATCGACCGGAGATGGTTCAGACAGGAGGTTTTAAAAACTGATGACTGAAAGATCATGTTTTTTTCGAAGAGAACACCAGGAGGCGTCAAGTGGGAGAAAATCGAGAAAAAAGGTAACTTGTAAATGCGGAATGCGCGAAAAGTTGTCGAAACAGCAGCAGCAGATTTTCTTCTCCTCCCTACGTGTTCGATTTCCGACAGCCAGAAAAGTGTCGTTGCCATTTCATGGCTAATCAAAGTTCCTCTCATTCTTGGTTTCCAGGAAATCATAAAAACACAACGGTTTGGAAAAATGTCAAAGGATAGGGAAAGAAAAAAACTGTTCTTGATGATGGGTTCGATTAGAAACCTGTCATATCGCGAATGGTGACAAAACAACAAAAAAGCGAGTAGGGCGAGAATAGTCCAAATGATATGGGCAAATCTGTTTTCTTTCCCTCTTTTCTTCTCAAATGAAACTAACTATCAGGAAAAGCGTTTGGTAGGAAGAAAGGAAAAAGACATAAGGAGAAGAGTGTAAGACTAAAACTTAAAACTTATACCAATACCATTTTTCTTTTTTCTCCTCTCATTTCGTTTTCAAGAAAACGAAGAGGTCAGAGAAAGGAGATGGGCCCCCACCAGAAGACTATCAAGTTACATTAACACTGCCGCTTATTGACTGCATACCAACACAGCAAGAAAAAAAGATAAGGCGTACGGAGAAAGTGGAGGGAAGGGCGCCTGAAGATGTGGGACGTGCGCTACCAACGCTTATTTATGACAATTTGGAATGCAACAACTTGGGGGTAATCAGACGATATATAGCTGATTGTTATCAGTCGATAGCTAGGAGAAAGATCGGAGGATGGACAGATGATTGGGGAGTGGTATCGGTGAACTTGGAATTGATAATAAATTTATAGGAGCGCTTTTATAGCGGGAAAGATGATGGACAACATAATCGGGATTTTTGATATTGACGCTTACAGTAGTATACAGTTACCACTGAGGAATGTTATGTAATACAGTCCCAGCTAGGTTGTCTTTAGTTTATTAATAAATGCTAATTGAAATCAGAGTTCCAGTCATACTGTAGTTTTGGGTTGGTCGCCAAAGATACCGGCAGCAGAGATAGTAGAACAAAATTTGGAATTAAGAAAGTTCCGAAGTTTTAAAAAAAATGAACTGACTTTTTTATCGAAAAATATGCGGAATTCCTCCAGAGTTGTTTTTTTTTGAAATCAAATTCCGATCGGAACATTTCCAAGATTTTTTCGAAAATGACAGATTTTTGCACTACAGTTTTTTAGATTTTTGAATTTTTTGAAAAGAAAATTAGCGTTTTTCTAATAGGAAAAAAAAGAAAAATTTTCATTTTGATACTTGAATGTTTAAAAAATCCCGGAAATCCTTAAATTCCCAAATTTTGGAAATTGGACTGTTCCGAAGATTTCGAAAACAAAAAAGTTTTGGAAATAAGAATATCCCGGATATCTGAAAATCCGAAACTATAAAAATCGGTATATTCTAAAATCTCTAATTTCCAATTTTTTCAGAATCTGAATTTTTAATTTGAAAATCCAAAAAGGCCTTTTCGTATTTCTGAGCGGCTGCCCGATTTATTCAAAACATCAGATTTGAGTACATCAAGAAAAAGTTGCTCAATTCAAAGGATCTTCCGTCAGTCTGAAAACTGATGCGGAAAGCTTGGAGATCTTACAAGGGAACCACAACACCTCGTCAGTTTGGATTTTGATGAAATGTTCAGTATATGTCAAGGATATCCTATCTAGGCATCCCTGAAAATTTTAGAACACGCTCGCCACTTTCAGCCGAGTTATATCAGTTTCTGTACCAAAAATCGCGTTTTCAGTGCAAAAATAGCGATTTTCAAAGGCGATTTTCTCCGCTCCCAGGAGGTTCCAGAACATGAAACTTGATTTGCTACACTCAGAATTATGTGTGATATCATTATTCAGACATTTTCTGAAAAAAAAATTTTCGAAAAAATTTTTTCTACCATTTGGGTGGGTGATATTATCGAGCTTTTGTCAATTTGGAAAATCCTTAAAAAAGTAGTGATAATTGTTTGCAAATATTATTTTACAACTGATAGATAGTCTATTTTTGATTGCACGCTTTTCATTATTCATTCATGGTCCGTATAGGTCCAAAAACAAAGCTTCAAAACCACCACATTCCAGTGATTGAATAATTCGAAAAATTTTTGAAAATTTTTTTTCTAAAATTTGTCTCTACTCTTTTGAATTGATAAAATTTTGAAACATATGTCAGAAAGATCCTGAAATGTCGCAAAAAAAAAAGCACTAGAGGGTCCGAAACCACAGCCTTGTGACTACTGGCGCCCACCACATCCCCGACACCACGCCGTCGACATTTAGTATTGGTTCGAAAGGCGGCTTAATGTCAGGCTGTCTTCTAACTCTTTTCCAAGTGGTTTCGGGGATAAAATGTGTGGAAAGCATGCAAATAAACAGATTCCAGTACTAAAACTTTGGACTGATATAACTCTGCTGAAATTGGCGAGCGTGTTCTTAAATTTTCAGGGATATCTAGATAGGATATCCTTGACATATCCTGAAATTTTTATCAAAATTCAAACTGACGAGGTGTTGTCGTTCCCTTGTTAATTGAATTTCATTATTATCCTCGTAATTTCAAAATTCACATCTAACTGGCCCTTCTACATCGTTTTTCAATTTATAATAATCCTTTCACTTACCTGCACACATGTTTTTGAAACAATCCAAATTTGGAGGATTTAGTAGCAAAAATATCCATAGGCTTTCTCTTTAAAAAAAAGAAGAATAGATGCGAGCAAGATGGTCTAGACTCGTCACCCCTTCTTCTGTCACTCATATCCATCACCCCATCCACTCATCTGGATTAATCCCAAAGTTACTTTTTATTTTTTAAGGATATGTCTTGACCGATGCTATTCATTCCTATCTACTGATAATCTTTTTTATTTCTCCACTTAATTACCCGTACCTACATGAAAGGTCGTTTAATGATACCTGTGGCTATCACTTTCTTATCAACTAACCTCCAACAACAGGGCCAATGCATCGCGAACGGTCGAAAATTTTTGAAAGGACAGAGAGTCGGTCAAAAGGGGAAATCTGTGAAGAGTCGAATGCCTGTCTAGCGCCGTCACATGACGGAGTGGGCGGAACTGAATTAGGAGAAGCCCGAAAAGGCGTTCTTGGGGGTGTATACATGAAAAATTGGTTTGAACACAAGCTAGAAACAATAAACAAGGTTGATCAGAGGGCACAATGAGTACGTGAACTTGAAATCACAGATTTTATAAAGTAAATTAAGACTGTAATAGGAAGTCAAGTGAAAGATTGAATTTGCAGACTTGAAAGACGTGAGAAAGCACTAAAATAAAAAATGGCTGCATATCCTCTCGAAAAAAAAACTCAGAAGACATCATCGAAATGTGTCAACGACTACTTGATTATTCATAAATGTTTGAGCACTCGGTTTTCTCTTTATCCACCGCTATTCGGAAATATGGAACTACATGAAATCTTAATAAAGAAACCATGAATCATGATTCTTGGAACCTTTTTCTCTGAAAAATGAAAAAGCAACAAGAGAAAAAGTTGCGAATAGAAAATTTTTTAGAGACAGATGATTATCAATGTCAACATAGATTGGGAGAGATTGAATGCGAAGCATAGGCATACATGTCACTTGGAAGCGAAACTTGATATGTTTTTGTCGTAAATCTTCAGCAATATGCGTGGTTTTGATTAACTTGACGCGGGTTCAATTTGAAACAAACACAAAAACATAGAAACATGCGAGCGCAAGTATTTTTGGTCCCCCTTGAGATATGAAGGGAAGAGGATGGGAACAAAGGGGATAAGTACTTCATTTGTCTGGTTTTGTGTTTCGGAGAATGAGAAGTTGAAAAATTACCGAAATGGACTGATGGAAGAATTTTTGATCCAGAACAATTTCCAAAAAAACATTTTACGGGAATTTTTGTTCTAGAAAATTGAGCAAATTGGGTTTAAATTGAATTTCTTAAAATTTTTACGTCAAGTTTTGTATATTTCTTTAAGTTTCTCATAGGTTATGATGAATCCTCTTCACGAACCACAAAAAGGCAAACAATAGTCAAAAATTGGATAAATCGGGAAAAAATGATGAAAAATTTTTAAGAAAATTCCTGTCGAGAAAAGTTATCGAAATTTTTCGGGAAATCCGAAAGACTGGGGTTCCCAACTTCTCGATTTGAACAAATCTGGTCCCTACAATAAGTTCAAAAGTCTAGAACGCCTCTCGATCTTTGTCTTCTTCGTCAGTGTCTGTCTCTCTTCACACTTTCACTTATTTCTTCAGAAAAACATAACCTACAGTACCCACCCAAAATCAACAGAATTCTGTTCTCTCGTCATCACTTTCTAATGCCAACCTACTAACCAGGATAAACTGATCAAACTTGTGATCAAAAGGCAACTGTCGATTTCAACGACTAAACAAAAGGTTGGATGAATTATTACCCTATTTTCTTCCAAGAATCTGACAGGTCCAACGGTTCATTGTAGCCAGCGCACCCCTCAAAATTTTGTGTAATTTCCTGTTATGATAAGGCGACACTTTTCTCTCCTATCCCATTCTTTTTTCCTTGACTACCGTATCTTTTTTCCCCATTAACGGCTGTAGACAGGGTTTATGGGTTTGCACTTCCGTAAATGTTCACCTTAGCGATGAGAATAAATTTGTTAAAAGTGCAACCTCCGGGTGAAAAAAATTAAAAGTGCAAATGAAATATAAGAGGAGCGAAAAGAAAGGCGCGAAAAAAAGGGAGTAGAATTTCAAAATAAGTCAACACTCAATTTTGAAAAAAAAACAAAAAAGTGGGTTAAAAGTTCCAGAGGTAGAGAAATCTTAAAGCTAAATCTAGATTTAGGTGATCGTGAAAAATGATAAAACACTGGGTGGTTTGAATTTTTAGTGGGCGGAATTTTTTCGAACGAGGTTTTTGGGGATATTGGATACAGCTAGAATTATCTTGCGAAGCTAATGAAAAATCAGATTTCCCAATAAAAATTGTCTTTGATTCCCATAAAAATTTGCTTCTTATTAATGGATGGCAGTACACAAAAAGAAACGTTGAAACCAGATAATCCGATTAATGAAGAAGCAATAAAATTGATATTGGGAGGTCTCTATCTTCTGTGGAGAAGTTATAATTGCCTATCCGATATCTATATCAATATCAGAGAATTCGTATCGAATATCTTATTCTACTACCCGAAAGAAATCTCACTTTCGGATTCCGAAATATTCTCGCCTCTTGTATCTGATATCGATATACCACCACCGTTCAAAAGGTTGAGCGGGGGCAATAGGTGAGAAATATGACACTTTATATTCCGGTCAGTGGGAAAGTGCTCCGCCGTGTCGTGCACTTCTTGGATCTTCACATTTCAGATCCCATTAAGCCCATTCCATCACGAAAATATTCCCGGCCCATTTTGCCTCAATGTTATTGTGTTGTACGCCAACTGTTTTAATCTACGAATCTATGTGTGTGTATGTGTATGTCGGATGGGGACAATTTACGGCGTACTAATCAAAATCGCAACATCGTTTGACTTACGGGCACCTCGTAAACCAAACGCACCGCCCAAGCCTCGACAATGATCTACGATGCCGCTTTGAGTAGCTGATTTACACGGAACAGATGATGAGAAGACTAAAAGGTTGTGGATTGGGTGAGAGAGAATGGTGTCAAGATGGGGTGGGGTGAAAACACATTGGTGTTTACGGGTTACTGTAGAAACATTTGAAGTGGAGACAGGGAGGGGGGTACTTCAGAACTTTAAAATTTACAAAAAACCGCATATAGTTCGGATTTATTCTTTGGTGTGGCCGATCAAAACAACAACAGGTGGTCAAAATCCCAAAAAAGAAAAAATAATAACGTTTTTCTTTTTTGAAAAAGATCAAGCAATTTGGGAAAAAAATTGACGAAGAAAATAAAACTTGAATATACAGTTTTGGTCAGAATTTTTTGAAAATTCCTAGTTTTCAATTAGTTGCCAATTTCTGAAAGAAACGTTTTTTCACATTTTCAGTACAAAATGAGGAGCTTTCCCCAAATCGGCAAATAGCTGAAAACGAAAAAACTTTAAAAAAATTCTGTGAATGTAAAGTTTTCAATCTAGGTCTGTTCGATAACCTCCACAATTTCCGAAGTGATCGGGCACTTGACAGCCGAGCTCGGGACTCCGGAAAATGGTCAAAAATGGCCGAATATCAACTGAAAAATACGTGTTTATCTCATTGACTGACACTGTCCATAAAATTTATACTGGAAATAAAAAGACTAAGTTAAAATGATATCTGGCTTTTTTTGATTTCCAAATTTTTTGACCTATTGTTAGCTAGTTCTTTTCTTTTTGAAAAGCGAACATTTCATAGTTAGTCTTTTAGACAAAAAAGTAAACAAAATACTTTTCTCTTTTTCGGCTCAAAAACACATTTCACAATGTGTACAATTTTCACGTTTGGGTTGAGAATAAGAAGATCCGCTTCAAAAAAGACCGTAAACTGCAAAAAAAACTTTTTGGGCAATTATCTAGAAGAATCTCTCAAAAACAATACAATCAGTCAAGAATCAAAATCCAAGTTGGTGACAAAAAGGTCATCAAGTTGGAACAACCTTTCGAATAGAGCAGACGATTTGCACATGATTGTACAGTGTGCAAATACTTGAGTTGAGAAAAAGAAGAAACATATGCTCATGGCTCTTTTCTGGTGGGAAGTTTTTGGGGGTCAAGGGCAATTTGAAAAACAACAGAATTTCGGAAAAAAATTGCTACGACAACAGCTCGCTTTCAGCGAACATCATAAAGTTGCTCTTCCTATTTTTTGGACAGCTACCGTAATCTTAAAACACATTCGACAGGGGGTGGGTTTTCAGAAGTCTCTCAGAATGCTTTCAAACTTTGAAAAATGATTGAAAAATGAAAAATCGAGATAGTTTTCTCTAGTTTTGTCACAAAATTCCGTGAGTTATCTGAATCAAATATCGTGCCTCCTACCGAAACAAATGGACATTGACCCTTTGGTGTTCCCGCTTCTTCTTCGTCTTCTTTTTGTTTCTAAAAATCAGGGATTCAATCCCCCCCTTCTTTCCAAATTGTTTATTTATTTATGTATGTACAAGGGCATTTTTGACGAAGAGAGAGAATGCGAATCGGATGAAGAAAAAGAAGAACGCCGCACGTTTACGACTAGGAAGATGGGGGCGAAACAGAAGCAAAGATGAAACAAATGAGTGGTGCGGTATTGGCAAAACGATCGAGCAACTCATTGAAAGTGTGAACAAAAGATGCCGCAGTGAGAATAGGTAACTTGACACGATATGCACAATCTCGATTTTACGGAACATCCGATAGAATCTATGATGTCGCAATCTGTCTAGGGGTGTTTAAAAAGCCGAACTTCTGGAACATTACCTGATAAGATCCATCGATGGTGGAAGATCATCCGGAAAACTGTCCCAGGAAATATCCGACGCGGTATCAAACGCAGAGTCGACGTTTGATAAGCAACTCATTATCTCAGAGTATATCAACAAACGAATAGCTGGCTTGAATTTTCCTGATTTTTTTTGAATGAATACCAATTAGTTCAAACAAACAGTGTGGAAAACACAAAAAAGTACAAAAGAGGGCGGGATTGACAGAGCACATGTTCACGAGACCTGGTGACGAAAAGACAAAAAAGGTGCCGCCGGTAGTGGAAAAGAAAAGTGAAGAGGTTTGATTGCATTCCTGGTGTTCCACTTGAAAGTGACGTGAGGGGTAAAAAAGTGCGAAACTATCAATTTCAAAGAGGTTATAGAAGTGTTCCAGGAGGAATATAGGGATCACAGATATTTAGTTATATTCCCATGTAGACAAATCATTTTACCAGGTATCCAGATAAATTAAGTCAAGGCAGACAGAGCAGGCGTGATACAATTTCACGGTAGTATTAGTGTCCAATCGAAATTGTTTTAAATGATAAATCAGCCTGAACTACGATTCAGGAAAGGTCGGAATATTCAGATTTTCAAATCTCAAATTTTTGGAATTTTGGAAGATTCCGATTTTGGAAATTTCGGATTTTTGGAAATTTTCTATTTTCAATATTTCAAAGTTTCTGAATTTTGAAACATCCCAAATTTCAAAACTTCGGAATATCGAAATATTCCGATTTTAGAATTTTCAAAGTTCCTTGGAATATTCCCGATTTTCAAAATTTTGAACATTTATTCCGAAAAAAAAATGCTTTGGGAAAGTTTCTATTGGATGTTTCATCAAAAAATAATTGAAATTTATGAAATTTTCAAAACTTTTTCAATTCTCTATTCCGTTCCGAACATCCCTGTTACGATTAGACAAAAATCTTCGCTCATAAGATAAATAAAAAACAAAAAAAAAACTGAAACTCCATAAACAGTTTTAGCATATATCTGATTGCCACGAAAATGTTAAATTTGCATTTGAAAAGGCATGATGTTGCTAACAAAACATCGATTTTAACTTTTGGTAGAATCCCAAATTTTCAATCGAAAATCACCCGAACGATGAAAAAGTCTGAATACTAACTTTCATTCACTCAAAAACCAGGTTAAAACACCAAGATGACCCAACTGAAAATCCACCAAAAACCCACAAATGAAAATCAAAAAATTATCCAAAAACATATTGTATTTCCAAACAACACTTCTTGTTGCTAAAACGGAAATTTCTCGCTTATTCTTCTTCTCAATCGCTATGTTTTTTTTCTCTACTCAATTTTCTCAGGTGAATGAATATGCAAATATATACAGTTAGCAAAAGTAGTGTAAAGAGACTTGAAGCGCTGAGGTTGCCTACGACAACTGCCACAAAAAAACTTTCTTCGACAGTTTCAATGTTTCTCCCATGTTATCTGAAAGCAGTTTGAAATTTGAAAGAGAACACATCCAAATAAAAATTTATGACCCCAGGGAAAAGCATTCCATTTTTTAAAATACCCATTTTCCAGCATGGGGAATGAAGAGAAATTGCACACGGTCTAGTTTGTATGTAGGGTACAGATGGGTGAGACAACGAATATTTCGGAATGTGGAGAAAAATCCTTGACATGACTAGAAATTATACAGTTGCATACTCAAGATTCACAAGTTAGGCATGAAACTGTTTACTATAATTAAATCCGTTTTGAGACTTCAAGGTCTTGCTCAGTTTACGCAGACCTCGGTGAATTTTGTCTGTTTGGAATGGAGTTGGTTTTTCGTCGTGCACTGACACCATATAAATATCCTTCTCTATTGATTTGCCAAAGAGTGTCTGAAAAACGAAAGTTCATTTTTTGTTTTTCAACTTTTACTATTATTAGGTTGTTCGGAAAGTCATTTCCACTTTTGATATGTTTTTTCAAACTTCGTTTTCTTGAAGGGGATAAAAGCGAGGAAGTTATCGTTTTATCAGTATGCTGGTGAGGTCTAATAGTGTCTACACCCCAACGGAGATCATTCTCCTCTTTTCGTGCAGTGAGATTTGCCCACCGTTTTCGCCTCAAATAATTTCCAGTTTTGAACTACCATTTTATTTGTATTTCTATCTGACCTCAGATCAACTGAAATCAATCACCAATTTGTGGAGGTTAACAACGATGATGCACCCTTTCGAACAAACTTCACAACCTGGATTCATCAATTTGAAAAATTAAAATTCTCGTTGGACGAAAATCCCCCTCCAAAAAAGCATACGGGCTCAGATTTGGACGAATTAAAAATCGGGATTGAAAGGGACCCGTCTCAAACAGTGCGGGATATATCACTCCATGTGGATCTCCATTGGAGAGAAACACAAAGGTTTATTTTCAAAATCGAAATTCGCAACCTCATGCGGGAAGGAGAACGGAGACCGATCTCACTGGATACGGCTAAACGGCTCTGTCTTATCTACAGTATAGTCCAAACCATGTATTGTCTGACTACCCTCTATCCAGCCATTTCTACCGACATCTTGATTGAAAAAAATTCACTTCAAAGCATGATGTCAAAAATGGGTTGACCTGATTTTCAATGCGCTGTGACCGGAGTTCTGGAAGGAAGGCATCCACAATTTTGTGGGACATTGGCAGAGAGTCACTGATAACAATGGTCATTACCTTCAATTTATCTGACATCGTTTTGACCTTTTTTATATCGAATGAATCTGACGCTAAAAATGGAAAGGACTTTCCGAACAACCTAATATTTTAAACTGTGTGGAATGGAATTTTTCGGAATTCTACCGATATAGGAAGTTTCGATTTTTTGATTAGCAAATTTTTGAAATTTCCAGGAATTTTGAAAACTAAAAAAAAGGAATTTCGGCATTTGCGAACATGAAAACTGACAAATGAAATGTTTTTTTTATTATTTCAAAAATTATTGTCGAAATTCACAAGAAAACCGAAAGCGAACATTACATTTTTTGCATTTGCCGTATTTGATCTGAGAGAAGCACACGTACACTTTATGCTCAATTATCTCAATATCTTCAGTAGATATCAAAAATATGTCAACTGAAAAAAATATTGATAATATTAAGAGAAACAATTTATCAGTTGAAATTTTTCTGATATCTTTCAAAACAAACGATATAATTGAGCTCGAAGTTGGCGGAAAGGGTGGACTTTTATTAGAGCAAACACGGTAACATAATTCTAACAATGACCACAATTTTTCCGTTTAAAAAAGTTTTCAGTCAGAAATCCCAGTCAGTAATCTTTAAATTTTAGTTTGGAGTTATCAGGTCAATTTTTTAAATTTTCAAAATTGCCGGAATTACAAATTCCGGTCAGAACAATTTTAACTTATCACGTACACAATCTATTTCACTGTCGTAGCAGGTTTCAATGTTGGACGATTCTTCGTTTTTAGGGGCTGGACCTCTTCCAACAAACGAAGTGACGGCATCTTCGATGAATTCAGTTGTGCCTCTCTGAAAAACAGAATTTATAAAAAGGTCATTTCTAATTTCTAAAAAAACAGCATTGCAAAACCCCATGTCTTTGCATTTAAGAAGTTGTACATTTTTGTTGAAATCGGTATGACTAACATGGCTAAACAATTTACGAGAATTAAAACAAATGGTCTGTTAAATACTTTAAAAATGAGGTTATGGTTCGGTGAGCTCAGGTATTCTATGTTTGAAACTTCAGAAACTTTTCTAAATTTTTAAAAACTACACTCCGTTCTTCGAAAAATTTTCATGGATTGTTGTTTAGGCGTTTCAACAAAAAACCCATTAAACCCCTATCAGTGAAAACAGTAACTTACAATCATAAACTTAGTTGCTAGCCCGTTAGCATAGAATGGCAGTTGGAATAAAATTGGAAGATTATAATCAAATGGATCCTTTACGGCTTCTTCGAATGCTTTTCCTTCTTTCAAATTGGTAGCATAAGTTGCTACGCGACGTAACCAATTTTTTTCGTTTGGCAGGATCATTGGGAACTTATCCACTAATGCCATGATTTTATTTCCATCCCATTTGTCGATATGGTCTAATAAGGTGTTATCGTGCATTTGCACCAACATCTAAAAAACAACTGGATTGAAGGATCACAATTTGGAAAATATTATTACTTGAATAAGCGGTTTCACTTGAGATCTCCAATACTGCCCCATGTTCTTATTAGCGCTATCCAAACTCAAAAAGAACTCGAGTTGCTCCTCGTACTCTTCAAGTTGCTCGAAAGGAGGCAAACCATGTCTTTGATCTTCTTCGAAACAGAACAATCTTCCTCTAATGACAATGCAGAAAAAATAGGCATCTGTGTTTTTGCAAAACTCGAAGCACCTCTCCGCTAAACTGTAGTCACTTTCATTTTTCATGAGCTGCAATTTCGAGAAACTGTTTGAGAAGCTTTCGGAAAAAGTTTATACCTGCAGTTGTTTCCTTGGCATACATTCTGGCCCAACAACATATCTAGCGTAGAGTGTGTACTTGCCGAGGAAAAGCTTGTAAATGTGCATCAGATATGAGAAAAAGTTTGTTTTCTGTACTTCCTCTGAACGTATTTCTTCCGTGTAAACTGTCATTTTGAATTCAAGCAGCTTCACATAGGCAAGGCAGCGGAAGAACTGGAAAAAATCACGAATAGTGATTTAAGGAGATTTTGGAAACTGTTATATTGTATAAAATGAGGGATCAGAGTGTGTCCGGCTAAAGCATTTTTTATAAAATTTCTTTGCACCTTCCTAATTTTTTATTTGCTTTGAACAATAGAGCATTTGGATTTGTGCAACTTCCGATTTCTTAGCAAGAATAACAAATCAAAGTTTTTTAAAAAGAAAGTTAAAATTTTATACAGATGGGAGAAAGACGATATTGCTTCTGATATTTCCAATTAAGCAATAATTTTAAACACTTCTCGAGCTTAATGTATTTCTAAGTTTTCTACTCACGTTTCCTTCTTGCAGCTGTTGATGTCCTTTGATGATCATCATCAACATGAGTAGCTCATCCACGCACCTTCTTCTCAAATTTTGAAGAAACAATGACTTCAGCCCAAATCGGTCTTCAGATCTTTTTCGTGGAACGACGATATCTTTGAATGGATCCATCGCAGGCTGAAATTTATCATACGAAAGGATCGATAGTATTACTTCCTACCATTGTCAGTAGCATTCCATCATCAACATTCATCTCTTTTCTGAAGTTGAATACTCTGCATTTGGAGGTTCTCTGTGATTCCAACACTCTGTTTCGAACATGTTCTCCCTCCACCAGAAATCCACGATACTTTTCAGCGCTGGCGAACGGCTCACTGCTTTCTCCATTCATTTTGAGACAACTCGATTCTATTGCTCTTGCTGCCAGTAGTTCTTCCTTTGCGTTTTTCCACCAGAGCACTGGTTTAGAGATTCCATATGGGTCGAGCAAGCCGAATTGTTTCATTTTCTTGTTCCTGACTGTCATCTCTGTTTCTGTACGGGTGAACACTTTCGGAGCAGTTTCATCATCGCTGTTTTCGTCGTCACTGGCATGGAAGGGGATTTCCAACAAAGGATAAGGTCGCATTTCTTTGATACAAATCTCCCGAGCTTCGGCCATTGAATTTCTGATCATTATACGTATTTTCCTCCTGAGATGCTCTGGCACCCTCTTCCGACAGTCTTCGCTAGCACAATCATTGTAATACTTCAGTCGCATTTGTTTCCTCTGGAGTTTTCTTCTCAACGCATCTGCATGAAAAGTAGTGAATGATTGGTCACTTCCAGGAAAAACTGCTGAGTAGTTCAGGTCTTGGTGTCAGTTGAATATGTTCCCATATTTTGCGTGCCCGCTTTGTTGATAGGTTTTCTACGAACAACCATTTCATTGTCGGCGAATCCAGAATCGTTACTTGAAGAACATTTTTTGGCTTCTGTCTCTTCTCTATCTTCAAGTTCAGTATTCTTAGGACCAAATCGACGTGGTTCGACTGGTTGCTTTTGGCATAACTTCCAATATGGCACTTCATATTCTTTCCGGTTCACGACATTTATGAGAAAGTCAGTTTGATCCGTTTTAAGCTTTTTCCAAAATTTCCGATATGCTGGCTCTATCTCATAAATGTGATAAGTGAGGTTTGTTCGATGGTAGATTTCTTCGTAACGAAGATTCTTCAACCACGAGAAGCAAAATTGGTCGTTTGATGCAAGTTCGTCTTTTTGGATTTTGTGCAAGCTCATTTCAAATTCTTTCTTTTCCTTATCCGTTTTGCATAGTCGTAGAGAAATGTCACTATCTGAAAAATAATACTCAATGAAAAAACTATTTTTGAAATTATTTAATATTTTGAGTCCTATGTTGAAGAATTTCACTCACCATTTATCATTGCCAAGATATTAGAATCCAACGATTTGAGCACATCGAACCAATCCATTGTTTCATTTTCATCTAGATTTGCCAAATACTTGAGAATGTTCACATGGCACTGTCGAAAGCAAGTAAAACGAGCGAATTCGTCAGCAGCATTTAACAATTCAGCAGACTTGAAGTGTGTTGATTCCATTTTCAATATTCTCATGAAGGATTGTCTAGATGATATATTTTATTCTCATCTTAATGGGAGGTGTGACTTACTGGCATCGAGAGTAGGCGACTTTGAGAGATTCGGATTTTTGTTGAAAAATATTGAAGTCATAGAATTTGGATTCCAATTGCGCTAACTGAAAATTTTGAACTCAGTTTGATCATATGATCTCTCGTTTCAATGGTTGACCACCCTTCTTCTTCTAAAAAAACATTTCACTATCACTTGGACACCTAGACAATCTTCAGACAGAATGAGAGTGTGTAAACCTATCACACCGATACCACTTGAAGAAAAAAAAACACAGCAATTGGACGCGAGAAAAGAACAGCTGTGGTCGATGGTCAGTAATAGATCACAATTTGACGGTGGCAGCTAGGGTTGCTTAATTGACTTACGTTGAGAAATGAGAGAAACAGTAGACGATATGGATTTTGTGGATCATTATTGTCAAATGCAGTCTCGACGATTGTAGAGCAATATCGGATGGCAAGTAGGAACTGAAAGTTTGAAATTGAGATCTTGAAAATTGGCTCGTATGATTTTTTTAGTTTAAATATTTGCAAGGATAATTCAAACTCCTCAGAAACAAATTAAAAACGACCAACCTTGCCGGTTTCCAAAAATGCAGCCACAATAACAATCATATCATTCAGTTTATGAGCCTCAGGTCCGATATTTTTCTTTGACTTCTCCTTATCTGCCTCCAAATCAGAAAAGTTCTGCATTGCAGTGTCATGCTGTCCTGGTTCCTGTTGGTTGCTAGATCCTTGTTCACTACTTTCCTGCTGGCCCTGTGTCTGCTGCACTGGTACCTGCTGATTGTCTCTCTTCGCCGTAATCACCCTTCTAATATTCCCAAGCCAGCGGTCCATCATTGTGCCGATGGCCCGGATAAGGAGGACCGCAAGCTGAAATAAATTTTTTGAGACAAAATTTGTGGGAATGAGAAAGGAGTAAAAGTTTTCTCAAGTACAGTACCAGTCAATAAGATGTACATAAGCTGATTTTCAAGCATTTGATCATTTTCAGAACTTTAGTGCTCAGTAGTTAAGTTCCCGATCACTTTGAAAACCTTGGAGGGTGTAAAGCAAGCCTGAATTGAAAAATTTGCATTCAAAAATATTCGGGAACATTCCTAGTTTTTTCAGCTATTTGCTGATTTCTGAAAACACCCTTTTGTTCCCCGTTTTTTTTCTGAAAACGTGAACAAATAGGTGTTTGCTTCGAAACCAGCAAAAAGGTGAAAAACTAGGAATTTTGAAAAAATTTTGTGAATGCGAGTTTTTATTCTTGATCTGTTTTACATTCTCCAAAGTGATTCGAAACTTTACAGCCAAGCTTCAGACTCTTGAAAATTGCCGAAAATCGAATGAAAAATAGTTTTTTGTATATTTCATCAACCGTTACTGTAGGTAGGAAAGAGATATGAGAGGACCAGTTTTTTTTTGTATTGAGGATAAACAAGAACCTAACAATAATATGGAAAATGTACGAAAGCAAAATTTAAAAAATATATGAAGTTCTAGCTTAGATAGTCCAGAAACATGAAATTTACACAACAAAGTGAAAAGCATCTTGTTATTACTGAAATTTGATACAAAGAATGTTACAATTGCGTTGTGAGGAGTTTGAGCAAATGGACCGGAGAAGGAAAGAAAAAATCTAGTTTTTCTGACCGGTCAGACAAAATTGAATACAAATCCTAGTGACTGTACAGTTGAACACCTAATGAAGGATCCACTATGCCTATTACGGACTGACCTTTTGACACGAATTCACGAACCGAACCCCAGGATAATTGTTCCGGCTAGCCTTGACAGAATGAGAAATGAGTGTTCAAAATAAAAAGATGACGGAGAGATAGAGATAGAGAAAGAGAGAGAGGAAGAAGATAAAGTTGAATAGAATGGAAACAGAAAGCAGATGGTAATAGTACTTAAAGAAATAGCAATTGGTCTGGGTGGGTGCTCTTCTCTAAGAAAACTGCTGGTGGAAATGAGCGGGAAACTGGCGGCAGATGTTCATCGTTCTCAACTTTTTTTTCGGAAAAATGAATGGAATGGACAGAATAAAAGATAAAAACGAACGGAAAAGTAGAGTCTAGTTCGGAGGGAAGTTTCAAGGTCTCGTTGGGATACTTTCTTTTCTAAATGAGTAGCTGGTTTTTGCAAAATCTGTATGAAAGGTTCAATTCCCGCCAATACAACGTTTCCAATTATAAATGTGTCCTTTTTCAACATTTCAAGATTAGTACTAACAAAAGATGTCAATTATTTTTCAAAAAATATTTGAAAACTGAAACTAACTTCTCACCAAGAATTGTCAAAATTTTGCATAAATTCCACCAAAACGCTTGCCCTTTTTTCTTTGTATTTCTTTCATTTTTCTTATCTTACCCGTCCCACCCCATAAACTAGAAATCGAGAGTTTGCGCTTATCTCTAAAGTGGTCTTCTTGCTTTCTTGCAACATTTGACGACTTGCATACGTAATGCATCTTTTGGGTTTTTTCTGCTGAATAAAAAAATATTTTTTGATGGATTAGAAAATTTTGCAGAAGCCCTTTTATAAGGAATTTTCAATTAGACTTTTTTCCAATCATTTTTCTGAGTGGAACATACCGTTGAATGTTGAATAATTAAAGAATTAACTCACCAAGACAAAGAAAAAAAAATGGAAATCAAAAGATTATTAATGCGAGAATTGGAGAGAATCAAGATTAACAACAAATTTTCTGTAACCTTCAATAAGAAGGTGTGAGAATCATCTTGATTATAAACAATCGACCATGAGTAGAAAACAAAAAAAAATGTAATTTTTTCTTTGTCAAATTTGGGAAGTTTTACAAGGGAATGGAATATTTTAGAAAATATACATTTATTGAATGAAAGTTCATAACCGTTGAGAAAAATTATTGATCAGAAATCGAAAGCTTTACTTTTTGAAATCATTACTCACAGTAACAGTCAGTAAGACATGCAAAAACATGTTTTTTCAGTTGATGTTGACCATTTTCAGAGCTTGGCTGTCAAGTCCCATAACTTTGAAGGTTTTGGAGGTAATACAAGCAGGCCTAGATTGAAAACTCTGCATTCACAGAATTTTTTGAAAATTTTCAGTTTTTCAGTTATTTGCCGATTTCTGAAGGACATCTTCTTTTTTTCCTGTTTTTGTACTGAAAACGTAATCTTAATCCTTCACAAGTCGTCAAATAGCTGAAAAGCTAAGAAATGTCAAAAAAGTTCTGTAAATGTAAAATTTTCCATCAGATTTTTATTAATCTAATTAACCGGAACTTTATGTATTTGTGAAGTAACCGTAATACGTGAGTAGTGAGAAATAGTTCGAATTACTGATGGATTACTTTATTTTGCAAATAAAAATATATGAAGCGTAATTTTACAGTGATTCTTTTATCATTTTTGTGATTTTAATCTATTTTTTGTGCCTGTTTTCGAAATCCGATTCAAATATTTCATTATGCTTCAAATAGCTGCTCTCAAAATAGTTGAACCCCTGAATGTTGTCGTCCACCCTCGTCTATCTATAACTTTTCTGAAAATATTAAGAAATTTTCGTGTTTTATTTATTTTTTCTTTTCATTACCACAAATCTTTCTAAGATAAGTATTATCTCTACGTGCTCTAGTTAAACACAGGACTACGGTAATACGAAAGCCACAACGTTTTCCCAGAGTTTGTCACTCGGCTTTATGATTAATCGAACTCCACGAGTTGGTCCCTCTATTACACCAGGAAAAAATCGGAGATCAAAAATGAAGCGGAAGAAAAAGGAGAATAAAAAAAAAGAACACCAATCATCAACTGAGTGCCTACTTTTTCCCACAGAGAACTGCCAGTCACTCTTTTTCTTTTTCTTGAAGAAAAAAAATTAGGAACTGGTTTAATTAACCTAAGCGACGTTTCATCTCTTTTTTTCCGGAACATGTTGCCCGTAAAGATTGGCCTGTTCCTCTTCAATTTGTGAAACGAAATTAGTAGATTGGACTAGAAAAAAAAATGAAAAAAGAAAGAATAAAGAAGAAGAGGAATAATGAAAAAGGAGAGAAAAGAGGACATCAACCAAGAGATTTATACCTTTGTTGTTGTGAGGAGAAGTGGAAGAAGACTGAAGGGAAATATAGAAACTGGTGTGTGAAAAATTTTGAAAATTGAGATGGTGATGAAGGAGAGAAAATGGAAAATTGAATTCACTGGAGAAACACAAAATAAGAAAACAAAGTGGATTGAGGTGAGAAATTTGAAAAAGTGCATTTATATCTGCCAATAGTACAGAAAAAAAAGTGTCAAGATCCCATGTGGTTCTTGAACGATCGATTAATTAAGAACAGTTGTTTGAAATAACTGCCAACCCGATTTATATCTTTCAACGTTTTCCCAAGACTTTGTTTAGTTCAGAATTACCTTTTCGGATTGTCGAAAATTCCGATTTTCAAAGTTTCGGAATTTCGGAATTTTGCAATTCCGGAACATTCCGAGTTTCTAAATTTCAAAGTTACGGGGTTTGGGAATCTTCCGGTCTTGAAAATTTTGGAATTACGGCATTTTGGAATTTTCTGATATTGAAAAATTCAGAATTTTCGTATTTTGGATTATTCCGATTTTGAAATGTACACAGTTTTGGAATTTTTTGATTTTAAAAAGATCGGCATCCGGAATGTTCTGCTTCTCGAAATTTTAAAATCTCGACATTCTGGGATTTTTCGATTTCGAAAAATTCAGAATTTCTGAATGTTTCGATTTAAAAAATTTCAGAATTTTGCAGTTTCGAAATATTCACTTTTTTGAAAATTTGAAGTATTCTGATTTTCAAATTTTCGGATATGGAAATTTGTGGTTTTCCGATTTTTAAATTTTTGGAATATTTCGATTTTCAAAGTTTCAGAACTTCAGCACTTCGGAAGATTTCAAAATTGAAACTTTGGAAAATTCGGATTCTAAAAAAAATTTTTCGGTTTTTAAAAGTTCGGAAATTTGGAATTTCGGAATTCTGAAATCTTTTTAATTTTTAATCAAATTTTCCAATAGAAGTTCCATTTTCCCATCACAAAAACGACGAAAATTAGTGAAAATTGACTGAAAGATTCGAAAACGCAAAAAAAAAAATTTAAAGCATACTTGTAAAATTCCGGGCCGGCCCGGACCCGGCCCGGTATCAAACATTTTGTATTTTTGAGCCAAATTTTGAGCTCTTAATATAACTTTTTCAATTTTTTTCGTTTTTTTGGATTGTTTGTCTGTTTGATCAAATAAGATCGAAAAAAACTCGAAAAAAAATTTTGATCGAAAAAATTCACATAAGGGTCCCCCCTTATGCGTTTTTTGTAATTTTCGAAACTCGTGAAATGACGGGCCCCCCGGGCCGGGCGTCCAAAATTTGGAAAAAAGCCCGGCCCGGCCCGTTACAAGTATGATCAAAAGTGATTGCGCAGGGCCGCAAAAAAGATTTCTTCCGTGCGCTTTTGAGATACGGTGGTGATTCAATATTTTCGAATTCCGGAAAAAAATAAAAGCTTCGGAAACATTTAGATAGAAATTTTCGAAATTCCTAATTTTGTTCCGAATATCTCTGGGATTAGCTCCACCAGGAATTCGGGACAGCTATTGAACTCAGCAAACTATATCTGGAAAAATTTCTAGTTGATCTTAAATGTATTTTTCGAAAAAAAAAGTAAGACAAAGAAAGTGGACACATCGAAAAGTCCTCCATTATTCTGCATCCTCCTTTCTTGCTCTCTAGACGTGAGCCACAGTGTCTATTTTGTGGCAGCTAGTATACACATATTAGTAAACATTTTGTTGATATCTATCCCAGACGCTAATGCTCTGCAAAGAACCCCATCTTTTTCTTCACCACCCGTACATCTTTTTCTCGACTCTTGGGCTGACCATAGCAAAAGAACAAGAAAAATAAAAAGAAGGAAACTGAGGCCTCCCGTGAGTGACAGCTGGAGAGTTGATGGGGCTTCTGGCGGCACAAATGATTACAGCGTGAATGTTTTTAACCAAAAGTGCAATAAATCAGGACATGTCCACAAGAAAAATTGGCAGTGCAAAAGCTGACAAGCTAGCATTGATGACTAGTACTTTTCTTTTTCCCTCATTCGATCAAAACATAAAAATTTGACCACAGTTTACAACATATACACTTTCCTGATCTTTGGAAAAATCAACTTTTCCCACAAACCACAATTTCACAATTGTTTTTTTTTTCAAAAAAAAAAAAACTACCGTAGGTTTCTCCTTTGGCAAATCAAGTTTTTTTCTACGGTCAGTCAATCCTTGTTCGCTCCCCATTTTACTTTAATTTTATCCTGTCACCAAGTCCGAATTCAAATAAGGAAAACAGTGAGAAGAAGACTGAGGAGAACACAACAAGTGACAGTTAGTGTTCTCAAACTGACTGAATAAGTACTACATCTGTACAAAAAAATGGTTTTTTTGTATTTTTTGTTTTTCAAAATATACAAAAAATCATTAGGAAATATCTACAAATCTACGAATACAAACAAAGAGTACATTGGACTTGCAAAACTACTAAAAAGAATATTATGAATGAATCATACTAGAAAACAGGAAAAAATAAGAAAAAGTTCAAAATTGTGCACAATAAATAGAAGGAATCAAAGTTCATTGACGAAGGAAGTGTATGAAAAAGATTTAAGATAAAAATGAATATACAAAAAAAAGCTAATTCAGGATATCCTGATATGAAGTTGAGTGCTTCTGATTTGATTCAAAAGTATTGAACTTTTCCAAAAATCGAAAACAGAATATCATGTTAGAAAAAAAATGAAAGGAACTACGTACTGTTTTTAGGAATTAAGTACTGTCTTTAAATTCCTATTTACTACCGTAACCAATAAAACAGTACGGTGGGCGTAACATAATCACGGGAGAAACCTTTTTTTCAAAAATATCATGACTGTTAGGAGGCAATTAAAACTCCACCTCAAGGCAATTACAGTAATTTACGATCGTGTTTGCTGATAGTGATAAGAATACCCGATCAAGCGACTATTTCTATTTTCCACTATCATAAGAAGTTGCTTTTTCAAAAATGCTAATTGGAAAAGAACATAGCGGATATTTCGGATTTGTAAAACACTCTGAATTATTAGCATATTTAAAAAAGTACCAGAAGTTCGGCAGCGCGAGACTAATTAGTTTTTTGTTGAAATTTCGATAAAATCGATATTCTTGCAATCATTTTCAAAATTTCCAAATTGCCCAATATCTAACGTATTTTTATTTTAATTTTTCGAAATTTTAAAACTTATCTAAATATGTTTGTTTTTCATCATGCTTGAATAAAGTTTCGGACAAAAATTCATAGATAGTTAGAAAAAGGTATTTAGAAGTTCAGATGAACAATTTCCACCAGGAACTAATGTAATCAAAAGAAAGTCAGATTGGAAAACATATAGGTCGAAAAATGAGACAACTTTGATTTCTCATATCTGATCAATCTAAAATCTGAATACCTCAACACGT